TGTTCTAAATAAGACGAGTCAACATTTGAACACATGGGATGAAAAGTATCTACAAATAGGATGGAAATGCTAAATTTCTTTTGTGTTATTAGGGTTTTTTGCATGCAGCTTTACCTTGTATTTATTTGCTTTCCTCTACTGAAAATAACAATACTGCTGTCGCTGGGAGAATGTAACTAAAGCAAGGATCATGGAACATGGCAGTTTATAACAAATACGTTTCTAAACTTAGCTTTACTTTGATTTGCTAATCTATCTTTTCAGGTGGATATAGACAGTAAACTACAGGTTTTCTTTTCCTGGAAAAAATTGTGCAATGGCATTATGTATTTATATTATTACCACTGCGACTTTTTCATGCAGATAGTCCTATCAGAATATCTGATTACAGAAATTAAAAAGTCTGCAATTAGATCAGGTCTTGATGTTACATTTAGTGCTTCAGAATCTTTTCAGCAATGATCTATGTTTTCTTCTTAAAAATAAAATAGCTTTAAATATATCTTAATTACTTTTTCAAATTAAAAATCTGCTAACTTTTCTGCAAAGGTAAGAGCTTTGGCTGGTAGAATGTACATATGAAATGCTCAACATGTTTTTGACTTCTATATAAGATTCAGATTCAATACTGCAAAGGAACCGTTAATTAGCAAAAGTAGGTGTGTAAATAACATGCAAAGATGTTTGCTGCATGGACATTAGTAACAAATAATTACTAGTGTTATCATAAATTCTGATCATATAATTCTGTATTTTTCTTTGTTTTCATCACAAAGAACTTATGAAGACTTCCACTGGCATTTGTTTAACATGGGTTTATCAGAACATACCTTAAAAAGTCTAGTAATTTTGAATGGCAATACTTGTATTACATTCGCAGTAATTTCAGCAGTTAAAACCACATTTTTTATTTTTTTTTTTATAATTCTGGTCACTGTTACGTGAATAGAATGCATTCAAACGCTTATAGGGTGAGTTTTACACTTGCTGGTTTTTACTTCAGACTTTTTCGAATCACACTGTAAGTTATTAAACAAATTCTTCATACACTCAATAACCACTTCCTAGGAACAGGATATGAAACTAGCTTATCAGCTACTGAGGTTTGATACAAACTGGTCTGGGGCCACAGTTCTCTGCAGGATATATAGCCATATCCCAAAACCACCAAGCAAACTGGAAAAACCTCATAATCTCTTAACACGAAGTGGACTTAAAGACAGTCAGTATTGAGGCAGATCTGGAGAATGCAGTAAGGAAAAGGTTTGGCTAAACCTTTCACTTAAAATACCTGCTTATAAATACAGAATAAATAATGGGTTATTGTCTAAGGATCAAAATGCAGCTAGCTGGCTCTTTCATTTATTCCTCATCTAGTCAGGCTCCTGTTGCATTTACTGGGTGTTGACCTGAATCAAAAGTGAAAAGAATCTCAGCTTTTAAGTAATAAGAAACTCTGAACTAAATTCTCAGAAATACTATAGATAAATAGCTTCTCCCTGTACACAGTTGCTTGCTAGATTTTATATTCTTTTTTTTTTTTTTTTTATGACTTAAAAGCTTTGCAGAAAAATGCTTCCATGGCTCCTCTGTACCTACTCTTTCTTATTAATTTTTGAAAAGTAAGCCCCCTTGTATTTATACAATATCATTATGACATATTATACTATAATACGTCATTATGATAATTTCCTGAGTTCTGACAGTTTTTTAGGTACTGGAAGAAACATATAAGAAGGTATGAGTGTTGTTTCAGTTGTTTCACACTCCCTACTATAAATTCCATGTCCTGCTGGGGAGTAAACTCATTATTCTTTCAGTGGGGTATCTTGGAAAAACACTGCCTACCATAGGCTAAGGATTCAAGATATGGTCTTATATTATATTGTTTTGCTCTAGTGAAGAAAGTTTGAAATACTTTTATTATCTGGGTAATGGTAGTATATAAGCTTTAATGAAAAGGGACTTAGGGAGTCGTGAACACAAAATAGGAGGCAGTGACAGATAAGATACAGAACAAGGAAGAAGGGACTCTTTTTAAAAGGCTGCAGTGGCAGACTAGGAGCCAGCAAAGGAAGAAATGAAAAGCAAGAAGTTTATCGAGAACGGATAAAATATCTCAGTGGAATAGGGTGACTACCAGAAGGCAGTGAAAGATGATGCATGACAAAAACTGGCAGGAGAATGCCATCATTAAAACAACAATTGTTCTTCACAGAAAATATTAAACCATGTAGGAACTTATTTCATATTGAAATTGTTCAGCAAGATGGTAAAAACCAGTGAAATGAATGTGAGAAAACAGCAGAATCAAAGCACAGAAATAGAATATAATTAGAGTAATTCATGCAATAAAAAGCAGTCCACACACTGAAGAGGAAAAAAATGGAAAAAAAGTGAAATGACTGAGGATTAGAAGAATGGAGACATTTACAAAGTGAACAACAGAGAGGAGAGAAAAGAAAAATCTGAAAGCAAGTAACATGCAAAATTTGTTTAATTTTTCTGTTTCAACATAAAATAAAAAATTTTTGAGCTTGAAATGAAATGTGTAGGCATGTCCAGTACTTTAGTTTCAAACTAAATATTAAAGTTTTTCATGTTGCTGAATGAAAGACATATCTTTTAGCCTAATAAAATTGTGCTGATGCTCTGTCATTCCTATCTGGATTTTCTTCTACCAATTTAATAATGTCAAATTCAAAATGATAAGGCAACACAAGTCCCAAAATACAGTGTTGCTACGATATGTCTGAAAAGAGACATCCACATTAACATTACTGCTGTAAGAAAGACTTCAGTAACTTATTCTTGTTGGTCTACCACTTAGATAGTCAGTGTATTAACACTTAGGAGTTAATGAATACAGTCATAAACTTTGGGCTGTCCACAGCACTTGCTCCTACATGCACAGCCACAAAAGAACCCCAACAAACAAAAGAAACAAACCCACCCCCCGCAAAACCAATCAACCAACAACAAAACCACCCAAAAAACCAAGAGATATAAATCTGTAAATTTTCAAGAAATCTGGTTTTATTAATTCTGCTCATAGACAAATTGTTGGGTGTTGGGAGTGCGAGTCATAAGGCTTACTAAAATGATAGAATATGTGGGAGTCTGCATTTTAGGATAGCTTGCCTGAAATGCTTAAAATCTTAACGTTTCAAGAACCTATGCATAAGGTGAAAAGCTTCAACAAATTTATGACTAGAATATGCATGCTTTAGAATATCGACAAATAAATTGGAATTCCAAAAAAAGTCCCTCAGCAGCCACCAAATCTCACTACCTCACCTGACTACCACTTTCATTGAAATTTGTACGCATAACCAATGGAAAAGAGAAAATAATGACCTTGCATTTCATCAATATTGCTGAGTGATAACAGGTTTTGTATTTTATTTCATCTGTTCCAATGACTTGCTGTATGACTCCTAACAACCAATCTAATTAATTTGTTTTTGCATTGAGAGAATTTAGGTCATTCTAGCAATTTAACAGTCTTCCCAGAGTGGGAGGATTCATTTCCTCTTTTACTTTTGGTTTTGATTTAGAGCATAACAGCTTCACTTTGCAGTTATGCTCTATATGGAGCCAGCTGATGAAATTCTAGCTGAGGCTATCTATAATTCTAGGCAATATTTAAAATGTTTTAAAATCATGTAAATAAAGATACAGAAAGATTTGTCTCCATTCAGACAATACTCAGCAAACTGTATAAATAGATTTGTATTATAATTTATATTTATTCCCCATTCCTAACCCTGGTGTTTCAATAAACATTGAATTTCTATATTCCATGGTTTCTGACCTTTTCTAAGCAGTGTGTGCCTTTTAACACTGAAGTAATTCTTGTTTAGTTTTTCTGTTGAGTTTTTTCCCTGTCTTATTTACAAGAGCCTCTTTTTATCACTTTGAAAATATTCAAATAACCAGCTTCCATGTTTAGCTTACCGATATGTAAGAAGTCAGAACTAGGGGGCTATAATCCTTGTAATTCTTGTTCCTCAGTTTTTGGATGGTAAAAGTAAAGCTATTTTTCAAATACACTACGCATTTGTAGCTTCAGTGAACATTGAATAGTTAGTAGCTCTCAGCTTTACGAACTAAAGGTATCCCAAATTGAAGCTCACAAAAATCACTGATATTAGGCATTAGCTTTGAAAAGGGCAGCACAGTAAGCTATGCAAGCTATAACAACATAGCCCTGGAATGAGGGGGATCCATCTCAAAGCTTATTTCGATCAGAACCATCACATACGTTCTGACAATGTCACCAGTGTGATTTTAAGATTGGCTCTTGTCAAGGATTTCTAAAGAATGGCCATCTCTTCATTTTCCCTACTCCATCTCTTCATTTCCCTACTCCCAAAACTTTAAGAGGAGTATGTTTTCCTCTTGAGAGTTTATTAATTCATACCTGTTAATGTCTAAAGAGGTTTGCTACCTTGCAAACAGCACGTAGCACTCCTTTTCCCTGGAAGTGAGCTCAGACTGCTCCCCAGGTACATCGTTTGCGGTTCCAGCTCCTTACAGTCCTAAGCTGATGGTTTAAATTTGAAAACAGAATAAGGTTTCTACCTATTGTAAATAAAAGTTGTCATTTACCTTTCTTAATTTTCATGTTCTTTACTTTCATGCACAATATAAGTAATAATTTCAAAAGATGTTTCATTGCTCAAACACTTTAATATTCAGGTTCTTAAAGCAAAACTTTTTAATGCCACTTTCTGAATGCCATAGCTATATTTGTCTTGTCCCTGCAGATATTCTCCCTGTAGACTTTTACATATTCTAAAATTAATTCCTCTTGCACAGACCAAAGAAAATAATTCTGGCCCAACCAAGTTGGCAGTGCTGTAGTCAGGTCACAAATTTGCAATGTGACCATCTTTTTCTTTGACAGACTCAGAAGTCTCTTTAAAAGAAGAGTTTTTATCTGCAACAGAGAACAGTAATATTGACATAAGATGCTTTGAAAGGAATTCTGAGCTTACCTGCAGTGTACAACCATAGGTCCAGCATCAGGTGGGTTGCAGGTCTTCACTCGTCGCAGGAAAGCTAAGAATGGTGTTGGGTGTTCTGGGACGCCATGGTCAGGCCAGGCAGTGAACTGGAATTGCCTCACTTCCCTTTTCTCACTTGAACCATTCTATGGTATTAAAAAAATTAATGACAAAACTGTCACTTGATGTGATATTGGAATTTTTTAATGAAACAACTGCAGAAGCATATATACCAGCAAAGTGTATTTAAATCATTTTGGGGCCAAAAGAAAATGGAACTTAGGCTATGGAGAGAAATGTTTCTTATATTCTCAATTGCAGGATTCAAACAATATAACAACTTTAACTGTACTGCACAGTAATGTCAGAGCTTTAGCTGTTATTTCAATGAGTTAAATATTTTTTCTTGGAAAGGGAAGGGAAGGAAAGGGAAGGACAAATGTTGCTAACATTTAAATTTTAAACTATATTGTAAGTATATATAAGTATATATACCTTGTAAAGTGCAAACGTACGAACACAGTATGTTGCCAATTCAACGGTGTCTAAAAGGGTTACTTGGATTAGTCCATAAGTTTCTGTGCCTCTGCTTGGCCAGTATTGATCACACTTCACCTGAAGTAAAAAATACATAATTATTTAATACATTTAAAAGTGACATTTATTACCTATCTGAGTGCATATCACTATAAGTTTTTAAAGTATGTGGAGTTAGAATGTCCAACAACAAGTAAGGTTCCAACATAATTTATTTTACCATCCACAAGAATTGCTCTTGTGGTAGTAGTGCTTAAAGTATCTTTTTCTGTAATGGGCATTTGTAAATTCAGTGGGGTAGATGACTAAGAAATACTGATAAGTATAGATACACTAAATTAAAAAAGAATCTATAGTAGCTAAAAGTATGACCTAATAATTGAACATATTTGCTTTCAGTGACTGAGACAGTCTCTATTTCATTTATAGTAACACATTTTAATCAATTAGCCTTGCATATGGTAGTGTATTCTGAACCCAGTAGTAATACATTGCATTTAATTTATTAATTTAATAAAACTCATATCAAATTCAGTGAGAATACACTAACTGTAAGAAACAAAAGCAGAATATAGCAAAGTATTTCTAATAAGAATGTGAATTATCGTGCTAATCCAAGAGAAAAACTGATGACTCCCCCAAAATGGAAAATTAAGATATGCATCTGTGAAACTCCTATGATCTTCAGTTTCTAACTCTGCACAGTACTTAGTGAAAAAGACTCAGTATGCTTTCAGACTCCCTAGTCCTGAATAGCTTTTGCTTGCAGATGATTTTATTTTGAGACTCACAGGTCACAGATCACTAACAGTTCACAAATCACTATCTGAGAACAAGTTAATCTGGATAAAGAGGAGAAAAAAAATGTAACCACTGAAACAGGTGACAAACAATCAACAGTGACAAAACCCCCTGAAACAATTTTTACGGGAATTGAGAGCTTAATTTATAAATAAAGAATTTCAACAAAGTAGCTAAAAATGTATTGTAACAGTCTTAAAAATGGGATAAATAGTGTATAAAGGCATCTTATTGGGAGGAATTAGGTAGTTATTTCCTTGTGCTATTTACTGAAATACTGAAAGCATAATTATTTCAAGTACTTCATGAATAGCAGTGATTTATTTGCAAGATTCTTAATTCTAAAAGATGCCATTGTGGTCTTCTGAACATTGGACAAAAAAGTGTATTTTTAATTGAGTTATTTCATTATAAATAATATATA